TTTATTTATTTATTTATTTATTTATTTGTATGAGAGTGTGGCTGTATTTACTGATGTGCATTCATGTGTGCCTGGTGCCTGCAGAGGCCAGAGAGGGCACTGGATATCCTGGAACTGGAGTTACAGAGGCTATGAGCTTCCATGTGGGATCTAAATCCTAGCCCTCTGCAAGAGAAGCAAGCACTCTTCTGAGCCGTCTCTCCAGTCTCATCTTTAATGCTTTTTACAGACTGATTGCAGTGTCTCATCATACACTCTTTTGGACTGAATCTGATAGAGAACTTTGATCTAGAACTTTTCTATCTACATCATTCCCCCAGGTATGGGAAGTTTTCTGTTGTTATAATAATTCCGGCCCCTTTTTCTCCTTTTCTTCTTTAAATCCTATAAATCAAAGATTTGCTCTTTTGATGTGGTTGCATAAATTACATAGACTTCTCTGTTTCTTTTTATTCTTTTGGAGCTTCTAGGCCTGGTCTAGAGACTTAGTCTGGGGCTTCCCAGCCCTGGGTTTTACTGGGTAGCCTGGTAGGCTTGAGGCAAAGTCTGGTGTACACATCTCTCTTTCTCTAAGCAAAGAGTATTTCCTTTGATTTATTTTGTTGTCATGGAGAACTGATTAAGTTGTTTCTGCAGGAAGACAAGTCTGATGTCTTAATGCTATTAGCTTTTTTTTTTTTTTTTTTTTTTTTTTTTTTAAAAAAAAGGAAACAATCTGTTTAATCCTGGGGCTAGAGAGATGACTCAGTTAAGAGCACTGGCTGCTCTTGCAGAGGACCTGTGTTTGATTCCCAGCACCCACATGGTGGCTAACAACTGAATCCAAACTCCAGTTGCGGGGGATCCATTGTCATCTTCTGTCCTCCACGGGCATTGGACTACATGGGTGCACGTACATACATGCAGGCAATACACTCATACACATAAAGTGAAAATAAATAAAATAAATAAAAGGAAAAAACTTGTTTAATCCTATTCTTGCACTCCATATGTATAGTCTACTCTGTTAAAAGCATTATGCTGAACTGTAGAAGAGAAAGCAAATGAGTATATTAAAAATCCAAATAAATTCTGTAGATGCTCTACCCCAAAGAAAGGGACCGTGATTCCCCAGTCCAGAGGTGTGAACTGCACAATGTGATTTTTCTTTAAAATAGTATAGAACATAAAGAGGAAGAAGAGAATATATGATAAAACTAGAAAATACTATTTCAGATAGTAATTAAGGCTAGAATTCAAGGGATGAATTATGTTACTAGAATATTCGCATGATTTGTTTGATATGATGGATTGATCTTTATGAGTTTCTCCTTAAACTTCAAACTCAAGTCCCGTTAGAAAAACATCACACACAGTATAGCAGACATACTATAGCAGGCAACATACAAAACAGCTGACCAATACTTCTCAAGGAGACAGGACTATTAAATGAAATTTGGATTCTAGCTGAGTCCTGAAACAGAAAAGGGGAATTATATAAAAACTAAGGAAATGGCACGCTATAGGTCTAAGTTCATAATAATGTCTGATGACCAGTTGGCTTATTGTAGAAAATGTACTATACTACTGAAAGCAGGCAATAATGGTAGAGAGAAAAAGAGAGAGCGAGCGAGCGAGAGATAGCGATACTGGAATTCTCTTATCTAAAATGCTTGGGATCAGAGGTGTTTTTGATTTTGGATTTTTCAGATTAAAAATGTTTGGATTTATTTATTTCTATTTTATGTGTAAGAGTGTATGTAAGTGCACCTGTGTCATGCAAAGCCTGTGGCAGACAGAAGAGGGCGTCAGATCCCCTGGAACTGGAGTTATGGATGGTTGTTAGCCTCCATGTGGGTGCTGGAATTTGAACGTGGGTCCTCTGCAAGGGCAGCCAGTGTTCTTAACTGCTGAGCCATCTCTCCAGCCCTGGATTTTTCAGATTTTGAGGTATTCATATTTACATAATTGCATTTCTTGGGAATGGGATTCAGTCTAAACATAAACCCGTTTGTTTGACATATGCCGTATACGTATATAACCTGAGGCAATGTCAGGCCAGGGTGTCTGTGTTTTGACAGCAATGAGCCATTGAGGTCAGGTGTCATGTTAGAGCTCAAAAGTTTAAGATTTGAAAACTTTCCAAATTTTAGATTTTGAGGTTAGGGATGCACATGTAATCTCTTAATTTATCTGCAAACCTAAAACTTCTAACTGAAAAAAGAACTAGAAACACAACATACAAAAATGTGAATTACACCTGTTTGCCTAGAGCTCAGTTGAGTAGAAAACAAAACCAGAATAAAATAATTATACAGCATCATAAACACTGTGATACAGGTTTGAACAGAAGGCAAGGACGGCTAAAAGGAATTACGATCTTCTCTATGAAACTGTAACTTTAAAATATTTGAATCTCCAGTAGCATTTAGCAAGTTTTTGCTCTAGGTTGGCATTGAAAGATCTACTAGAATGGTAAAGAAGAAAGCACCCTGCTATGTGGTATGTGTCATGTGGAAGACGGAAATAAGGATAAGTCAAGGTGAAGTATTTCCTATACAACCTCCCAAAAATGTAAGGGTAAATTTCACTTCAAACTCTCCTATACACGCCTTTATTACACAAAGATTTGTTTTTATGTGACTGATGAACCTGAGAAATTCATACTTTTATGGATTTCAGCCAGACATTTAAAGAAAGTCTGTCTTAAGAGACAATATAGATTTTTCTTTTCTCTTGGAGTTGGGTGGTAGACAAAAAGAATCACTGAGGGGACTGGAGAGATGGCTTAGAGGTTAAGAGCACTGGTCCTGGGTTCAGTTCCTAGCACCCATATGGTGGCTAACAATAATCTGTAACTCTAGTTCCAGGGGTCAATCTTTTTCTGGCCTCCATGGGTATTGTATGACAAAGGTGCACTTACATACATGTGGGCAATACATTGATACACATAAAATAAAAATAAATAAAATATTAAAAAATAATTGAAAGAAAAATATAAGCCCAGACACTTGGCCATTTATAAAAGGCTCCTTTTTGAAAGACAAAGTGTGGAAAGTCACCAAGAATGTATACCTGGCTCATAGCTGCAGAAGCATCTCTGAAATATTTTAGTTAACACCATCCATTTCACCACTGAGTGTCCATTAGCAAGATTCATGAACAGCTTTCCTACACAGAAGAAAGCCCAGCAAGTAGAAGACTGAAGAATGTGGCCTCCTGGTCCTCAGTGAGAGGTTGAGAGGTGCTGGAATCCAGAGGCCCCTGCCTGTGTGAGACAGAGTTGGGCTGAGCTGCCCTGCAGATCCAAGGCACTGGTGGCTTTGGGCTTGAGTTCAGGATGCTATAAATGTGATGCCTCTTGTGAGTTTCCTATGCTGGCATCTCTTATTTTTTTCCCAAGGCCAACTGACCACTCCCAGGGTATGAATTCCCAGTCAGGGCAAAGGGCTACATCTAGCTATGACATACTTTATTCTTACTATAAATGCCAAATTACTTCACATTATTGAGAATGTACAGCCCCCTTTCTTTAAGTTATCCTGGTGTTATGGAACTGGTAGTCTGGTTTTAAAATGAAGTCCGCCACTGTGAAACCTCAGGCAAATTATGCTCCTGTAGGTCTCTGGTCCCTGAGCTGAAAATGAGGACACTGTGTAGGTCTCTGGTTCTTTTCATGTGTACTATATAGTCTACAAGCTAGTTGTGATTTAGCTGACAAAGAGAAAAACCATAAACGTAAATGTAGGTACTTGCTTTTATTAGTTTGTGGATCAGATTATTATTATATTATTATATTAGCCCTTTTGGGTGAGCAGCTGTTAGCACTAGACAAATATGTTTGGGATTATTCTTTTTTATAAGATTTTCATTTTGTTGTCTACTTTATAAAGCGATTTAAGAGGTATTAGGAATGCTACTGTAGACAAGTTACAGCAGTAATTTCCTTTTCAATCCCCAAGGATAAAGGACTAACCACTGAAAAAGCTCTCTAGTCGGTTCCTTAACGCACCAATGCCTCCCTTCTGCCAGGACTGGCTCCAGAGCGATGCCGCGCTATCTCTGTGTAACCTTAAAACGCGGCAAACCCAAATCCTGTTCCCAACACCCTATTTCCTCACATTTCCTGTTTGGTCCTTAAAAAACAGTATCCACCACCATCACCACCAAATGTGCTTTTTCTTTTAAAATCCCCCTTGGATGGTTAAGCTCCAAGCCCCTGTGAGGACGTCCTGGGTACCGCCCCAGGATGCTCTGTTGCTCCTCTCCCTGGGGTCCGCACGACTGGGCACGCACCTGAGTGGCCTTGGCTGGAAGAGCAGCAGCAGGCGCACAGGCGAGGCCACGGCCACACTCCTCCCCCGCACGGGCCTCGGCCGCCTATCGTCACCTGCTGCCAGGAGGGAACTAGTTCTGTAAGGGAAATCAGGAGTCGCCTTAGGGCACCCCACTCCGCCCCCATCCCCGCGCACCACAGCTGCGGCCACGGGCTCTCCAGGTCTCCACCCCAGGCCACTGCCACATAGCCCCCGCGCATCCTTCCGCGCCAGCCGGGCCGCGCCCCCAGGTGTCCCGCCCCGCTTCAGGAGTCCCCACCGCTCTCCTCCGGAGTCCTCGTCGCTTTCCCCCAGGTGTCCCCGCCGCCCTCAGGTGTCCCCACGGCCCCTCTAGATGTCTCCCACCCCCCAAGTGTCCCCGCCCCCCAAGAGTCCCTGTCGTCC